TGTGGTTACCTTGTTGCCAGTGGTACAGCTAAACCCTGAGAACTTGTTTGAAGATTCTGGCGGGGGGTGCACAGGTGTCTCTATCTAGCAGGGAGGCTTGGCCCTTCTTGGTCTGGGTACCTGACCTACTGAGGAGAAAGGAAAGGTGAGGACAGCTGCTCAGCTGACCAACGAGCAGGCTGCTGGCTCATGGGGTCTGCACCGAGCACCCAGCTCACCGCCCCCCGCACTGCCCTGGGAACCATGTCCACATTTCTTTCCTGCAGTACTCCTTTCTTTGTTAATCCTCACCCGAGGATATTTTTCCATTTATCTTCAGATAGAATGGGAGGAAGAGAGGGAGAGAGAGAAACACCGATGTGAGGAGACACATCAGCTGGTTGCCTCCTGCATGACCCCGACCAGGGCGGGGAAGAACCACAACCGAGGTATGAACCCTTGGCCAGAATCGAATGCGGGACTCATTGGTCAGTGGCCGACGCCCTAACCTCTGAGCCAAACTGGCCAGGGCTGCAACATTTCTTAAATCTCTATGCATCATAAGGGTGAATTTCATGAGAAAGAAAAGGCCATTACTACTCAGGGTTTGCAAAAGATAACTGACATTTCATCTCTTTCCTCTCCTTTCCTTAAGATCTTTCTTAGATCGATGACAACCACTTTCAACCTCACATAATTCTGCCCCCTCGGGTACTAGAACAGCAGTTCACCTCGATCCGAATATGTATTTACAGGTGCGTATATTTGGTGTCAGTGATTTAGTGGTGACAGGAAAATGTCCATTTTAGATCACCAGAGAAATAGTCCTAACGACCCAGGTCCCTAGGTCCCTAAGAATGAATGCTATTAATCAATGTGTTAGAGCAATTATCTTCCAGCCTCAGTCTATTTAAGACAGAACTTATTCTTTCTAAACTCTTTGTTGTTCCAATCTTACTGCTTTAACCTTAAAGTATTCCGAAAATGTTTTGCTGTAGAGATTTAGCTTAAGTAATAGTTTGATGATGGTTTTGGGGGTTCAGACAGGCCTGACTGCGAACATCGCAGGTCAGCATCGCCTTCTGTTCTCTTAAATATTCTCAGAGAAGGAGAGTTTGTTCCTTTGTTTTGCACTTTAATGACCTTTTCAGAAACCCCGGTTTTCTCTGCATAGTTGTTTGTGAGATGATTCACTCTGTGTCAGAGTGAAACCAGGCGAGGCGGGCCTTGTGCCGTATCTGCTTTGCTAATGCACCTTGCTCCTCACAATGCCACTTTGAAGGAAGTTGGCAACGGTCCCCTTGCTCACACACTCAGTTCTTTAGACATAATTTGGGCCTCATGGAATACTGTTGATCATTTTGAAGAAACTGTCAGTCCCGTGGGCAGGTTGCTGGGGAAGTGATGAAGACACTCGGGAGTCCTGCATTCTCCAAGGTGACCTCATGCCATTGTTCCACCTCTGGGTGCAAACCTTTCCCGTTTTCAGCCCAACAGAGATGAATGTTCCTTAAAAGAGCTTTGCTGTCTCTGTGCCTCCAAGAGTCAAACCATACTCAAAGCAGCCATTGTCACGTAGATTTGTCTCCAAGGTCACTAAAATACTGTCAGCATATACATTCTTCCTGGGTTGCATCTTCATAGAAAAGGTGCCTCTCAAGTCTCTAAGGATGTAGTTGTTCCCCGGGGGTTTTAAACTCAGTCTAGCTTTCCCAACACTTCTTATATTATGAACTAGTTTTCAGTCTTTTTCAGGCTGTGATCTCGATGTTTTTCCATTTCAGCTTTGGAACAACCAGTATGTCAAGGATTATTACTTTGGTTACTTTAATCCTTACTCAGAGGTTTGTAAAAATAAATAACCATAAAAGAATTGGTATCTTTGAAGATATCTACATGCATGAACGTAAGGGTCATAGTCACAGAGCATATTGCATTGGTTGCTGAATTTCCAACCTCAGAGAGGAATCTTCCATATAAAACTTTATACACACTGCATGCATGTAAGAGATTATCACCAGAAAATTAAGAAATTCCTTTCCAAATTGCTATAGTAGTTTTAAAGAGTAAAAAAAAGGGAAGAGAGATAAAACTAACAACTTACTATAGTTGAACTCAATAAATCCTAATAGTAGCATATTAGAATAATATTTATAAAATATTTTATATAAGAATTTATATAAGACTTTAGATATATTTTTTTTTGGACCTCAGAAGATCAAAGAAAGCTAGGAGGAAGGTGCCTTTATTGGATTTAGAGCTGTTTGACATTTGACAACTCATTGATCAATTTCTATATGAATGAAGTGGGTCAGCAGGTAGCATTTACGAAGTCATGACCATGTGTGAGCTCAGTCATATGGACTCATTTTAACCTCACCTCGTGCCTGTGTCGTCAGTATTATCCCAACTCTATAAATAAGGAAACTGAGGCTCAGAGCATAAGGGTAGGTGAGTTGCCCAGATCCTCTGATCCGTGAGGGCAATGCCAGGACCCAAACCCTCCCTGACACCTCATGACCTCTTTCCATTGGTAGTGACTGCCTTGGAACATTCTCTGGCCCTGTCTACCCTCCAGTCCCAGAATGCTCTTGAGCTTTCAAAATCGGTTCAAATCAAATTCTTGAACCTGCATCCAAAGTATGAAAACTGAACTTAAGTCAGATTTACTTTTTTCAAAGAATCACCCAATGTTTTACATTGGGTGATTAACATTTCATAAAGAGTATTTTGTAACCAAAAAAGTTGGGGGAGTACAGAACTTGAAACCACAGTTTACCTGATGTCTTTAGTACAGGAGTTCTAACTATGCTTACTATGCCGGTGTGAGCACTGACTCTCTCAGGAGAGCACATGACGGATTTGGTTTCACAAGCTATTCCTTCATCCTTTAATTTGGTAGAATACCTCAAGGGATTAGTTTTCTATGAAACTACACAGCTTAATAGTGTGTTATCTTGGACGAGTCACTTTACTTGTTTGGGCCTAAATTTTCTATTCTACAAATGGGGTTAAAGATATTCCAAAGGTCCCTTTAGCTTTAAAAATTCTATGATACACACCCCTCCTTCCCCACCAAGTTTGGGCACTCGTGCTACCAAGTGAACTTGCTAAGGATCGAATAAGGTTTTCTGAAAACCATTCATTCATTCACTCATTCATTCATGTAACATTTATTGATTACCAAGCACTATGCCAGGTTTTGCGGATAAAAAGACAAATTAAGATGCAAATAAGACTACCCTGTATGCCCCCAGGGTGAGGGCATGCTCTGACAAAGCACCGATAGTAAGAGAACATATACAGGACAGATGGTGCAGTACAGTGGGAGGGCAATAGGGATGTGCAGAGATAGTACAGACACATAAACTGATGATTATAAAATGGCTCAGGAAGAGAGAATAGAAACATTCATAAATAGTAGACTCATGGAGGACCTGCCTCCTCTTTGCAGGAGATAAGTAAGACTTTCTGGAGAGTGAACCCCTGCTCTGGGTTTTAAGGGGTGGGTCGGTGTCAGGAGACGGGAAGGCAGGGAAGATGGGCCGCAGGAACAGAAAAAGCTAGGGGCAGAAGCAGCATAGCGAGTGTGCAGGGTGTGCAGTGGTCTCCAGAGTTGGCAGTTGTCTCCGGGAGTTTGGCAATTGGTAGACTATAAAGTTTAAGGAGAGCATATAGGTGTGGGAGTAGGCAGGGCCTATTGCTGGGGGCCTTCTCTGTCAGGTGCTTGAAGCTGGTCCTGTGATGAAGAGCCAATGAACACTTGAAAGAGGGAAGTGACATGTTCCCAGTTGCGTTTTATACAGCTGTGTGGGAAATAAATACAAAGAGGGAAAAGAGAGCGAGGGAGACCAGTTAGGACACTACTGCAGATGTTCAGGGGATAGATAATGGGCATCTGAACTGAGAGAGTAACAGGAAAGCAGAGGAAAGGATGGATCTGAGAGATGTTTAGTATTTGGTAGGTTTACCCTGCTTGGCCTGGTGACTGGTGAGAGGGAGGGCGAAGGAGAGGCCGTTATACCACGACCCTTTCTGTGCACTAAATGCCAAAGGAGACAGTAGAAGACACACCGCAGGACCACTGCATGTCGCCAGTTACTTGATGTAGGTTGTTGGACTTGCAAAGAAATGGCAATTTTATTTTTAATATAAATGTTATTATTAATGAAAATCATAAATACGTTTATTTTAAACTTATTCAACCACAGAATTACAAGGCAAGCAATAGATAGTGTTTGTAGTTACTGATTTAAGTCTAGTCGCTTTTAAATATATCTTTTGTCGAAGGGGAAGGAACACATGATCATTGGTTTAGATTTTATTTACCAGTATTATAAAAAAAAATCACTGAAAATATTCTTTTTTTTTACCAAATCATTAAAATTGGTATAGGTGAATTTAACAGATTATAAATCTACTTGAAACTCTATCTACTCCAGGTATTCAAAGCTCTCCTCTCCCTCACGCCGAGGGAGGAATCCGGCAGCACTTTCTCTGTGGTTGAGGTGAACTGAAACCTTACTGAGTGGCTCTTAGCATTTTTTTCTAAATATTTTTATTGATTTGGTGGGTTTTTTTGTTTTTTTTTTAAGAGACAGAGGAAGGGAGATGGAGAGAGAAAGATCCATGTGGGAACAGAACATCGATCGGCTGTCTCCTGCATGCCCCCTACTGGGGATCAAGCCCAAAACCTGGGCATATGCCTGGTGACTGGGAATCGACCTTGCAACCTTTTGGTGCCTGGGAGGACACCCAACCACTGAACTCACCGGCCAGGGCGGCTCTGAGCATTTCTTTCTGAATGCACTGTTTAAAGCAGGTGCCATGGGGTTAGAAATACGGTCTGGGTAAAACCTGGCTCAAACAGTCCTCCCTGAAGTTGATATAAGTAGGAACCAGAGCCCAGTTTCTTACAACTCTGTCAGTAAGTGGTTCTAGATGGACTGGCTGGAGGCGGTGGGAATGTTAAGGGAAGAAGGGAACCAGGAGGAGGAGTAAACAAGGATAACATCTCTTACCGGGTCGTTGTTGTATTTTGCGGCTGTTTTTAAACCAGGTGATCTGAGGCTCAGGGATGCCACCAGCGCGGCAGTCCAGGGTAGTGGAGCTGCTGACAGGCACCGTGTGGTCACTGAGGTTTCGCAGGAGGTAGGGTGCTTCCTGATCTAGTGAATAAAGAAAGAGAATTGTTATTACTGGTCAGTTTTATTTTTTTTTACTGTATAGGCATCTCAGCATTTGAAATATACAAATAGCAAAACTCAACTATAAGGTTTCATTTATATTTTGTTCCCTAGATTTCTCTTCTGTGATTAACGTACTGCTCCCTCTTTATCAGGTTGGGCCAATACATTGAAATTTATTAGAACACAGAGTACAATCAAGAACTAAATTCTTTATTTTTAGATTTTAATATCAAGGTTTTCTTTTCTTTTTTGGAGAGAACCTTTTCTAAAACCTGAAGATTTTGAATATGTTTTGGGAACTGGAAGGGGAAAACGTGATTTTGAGTATTGGTTGGTAATGACTTTTCACGTGGACATATGGCATGGTGCTGATGAGCTACTGTCATTTTGTATGTGCTTATGTGGCTGTGTTCGTGAGGGCGTGTTTGTGTGACTCAGCTGTCAGTAACCTGAGTTGCAAGGCAGCAGACCAAACAGGAGAATTTCTTGAACTTTGAAAGCTTTATTGATTATTTCCTTCCTCCGTTCCCTTCCCAAGTGCAAGCCACCGAGGATCCATTCAAGAGGCAGAGGCACAGACTTGTGGTTTTTGCACTATATGATAGTACAATATTGTATTTTATATTATTTCCTCTTAAAACATACAAATATGATACAATACAATTTATTTTAATAGAATGCCAACCAATATAGTACAACAAAATGAACTTAATACATTAGGATGCAATACATTACAACATTAAAATCCCACATAGGAACAGCAGTACCCCCAAGGCCCCAATGAGTACAGTGTCTATGTCATGAAGTAGTCAGTCAGTCCTGCTGATGTGTATACATTCTAGTTAGGTGGGTGCTCAGCTTCCAAGGCAAAATAGTAAAGACAACTCCTGATGTCTTTCCCACCCCCCCAAATCATCCGTATCCCCCCTCGTAGCAAATTCTGGAACAGAAATCAAAAGCTTTGGCATAACTTACACATTCTGCGTCACTGGTTTCAATTATGAGCTTTCTCTGACCATTTCTGATTTTCTCATCTTATTGTACTAAACTGTGAGAGCAGCTTAGGAGTGATTACAATGCTATGAGAGATGACACATTGCCATGGCTTTGGTTCCATGTCCCTGCAGGGTTCTGCCGAGTCCCCAAACCTTTCTCTTATTCCTGCAGGGAAACTCTCAGGATTAGCATTCACGAAAGCAATTTAGAAATCTCAGGTTAAAAAGTGTACTATCATATAACTTTTAAACATGTTGATATAGTATAACATGGCCGAGTTACTATGTTAGAAGACACAGATTTCTCATTAAATTTTGATGTCCATAGCTTATCATTAGTCTTTTTGCATTTTATACAGAATGAAATCTGAAGGCAAATAAGAATGCTGAAGGAAATGCTCTGATCTATAAATACTTCAGATATTGTGTGGAACAAATGACAGCAAGGATCCTGTTGCCTGTTTCCATGAGTCTTTCCTGGTCTACCTTGCCCCAAGCAGAACCGTTTGAATATTTCTGAGTCTGCCTTCGGTGCAATCTGTCAAATTGCTTTTACTACTTAAAAAGGCAGCCGCCTATCAAACTCTTTAATTTTGATAACTCTTACATGCTTGATCATTACAATGTTGACAGTTTTACGTGGGACAGACCCCAGACATGCCAGTGAAATACAGAATAAAGAACAGTATCATTTGCTATTTAATGTCTGTTACAGTGGCAAGCCAACTTTGACATATCTCATTAATTCAGGCCCAGTTCACTGAATTATACTTGTAATAGCTTCTCTGAGCACATTTGCTACTTCCCATGTACTAAAAATGCTAAAATAATCTTATCATTGCCCGTAAGCTTAAGTATAAAAAGAAAGTCTGAATATAGGGCCTATAGCGCCCAGATGGTTTTCATAGCTACACACTGTAACATCATCAACACAGGCAGGATTGGGCTTTCCTGACAGGTGGATTGGAAAGCAATGCCTATGTAGACGAGAACATTGGCTTTTAACAAAAATGTCATGAAGAACTCCCGAAAGTCCTATCTGTCCTACAAACTTCAGACAAGAGAAACAGCAGAAAGGCTGCAGAATAAACATGGGATGTTCAATTAAGTACAAAGTTTACATAAACATGTCAGAAACATACAGTATTAAGGTTTTTTTCCTTTGTACCCATTTCTGAAAATAAGTTCTCTTACGAGAAAAATTCTCATTTTTGGCTAGTTTCTAAGTGACCAATCAAGGAATCATTTTATCAGTTTATATAGTAATCTGTTTTGACAATGAAAGGTACATTGAACTCACATTTTTAAACCTAAGTTATTTGATGGAAATAGGTAGCTGCTTTCCAAAGTTAACAGAGTGGAACTGATCCCTTCAAACTGAGAAAATCAGAAATAACAGAATATTTCTGCTGGTTATTAATAGCCAGAGAGCTCCCCCAGATCCTTCTCTTCTCAGTGTTACTGCCCCAGAGGTCTGCCAGGTCCCGTGAACACAGTGTCTCTGCTCTATTGGAGTGGGGACCGAGGAACCAGCCTCGTGCCCTCCATCCAGCTCACTCACCCATTCTCCACACTGGCTCCTTTCTCTTTCTCTTTTTCCTGTTACCCTCCCTTTATCCCACACTCAAAAGAGGAACTAATTATTTTTTCTTTTTGAAACTCTCTGGAAGGATTAATTACACAGTGAACAATTAATTACAGCATTCTTAAAATTATCTCTTGGAAGTGCTTAAAATCATGTCCTGTGAATACGAAGACCCTTCCCCTCCCCACAGTAATTGCAATTGCAATGTTAAGGGACAGGAAATGATAAATTCTGCATGTCCGATTCACCATGTTTTCAACCCCCCCTCCCCCGCCATTGCATTTGCTTTTCAAACTTTCCTAAAAATGGAGGCTCCCAAGCTCTGCAGTCCTGAAGCATTGTTTCCTGAAGGAACACACTGACTTATAATGAACAAAGACTCCAGGCACAAGAGCCATAGGTAAAGGATACAATTGATTATTCTTTCCTTTGGGCTGACAACTTCCAGGTTACTAATTGTTTTCAGAGCATTAGGGGCTCCATAAAACTGGCATTCTGGGGAAATGGTATTGTTTACTCTTTCACACATTGACAAAAGCAATTCCCACGTGAAAGACAAGTTTAGCCGTGGGACAGAGTCTATTACCTAAAGTAGGAAACAGTCCAGAGAGTTCCCAAGCCTGAGAAGTTGTCATATTGTCAGCTCCTGTTAGACTGCCCAGCCGTGTGTTCTCAGGCCTTGGCCATTGTGGTCATTATGGTGGTTTTCCAATAGTTCATGCAAGTCACATATAATGATCAATCATAAATGAAAACAACAGAACAGCGCATATTAAACTGGTGAAAAAAGTCACTTCCCCTCAACTGCAAGCTTAAAACAAGAGATATAATCTCTCTTGATGTAACGATGTGTTATTTTTCAATGACTCTGAATTCTGCTTCTTTAGGTTTGCCTTTTCTTAGTCCCCATAAAATCCTATCAACACAGGAATGTGGGGAAATGGACTTTTTTTAGTGGACAAATTTTAGATTTACATTTAGAAGAATGCATTAAAATTCTGGTCACAGTAGCCTTTATATGCTTAATAACTGATTGTGCTACACCTTTGAATGCTGTCAGTGAAACAGGACAAAGTTATTTAAAAGAATAACCAGGGGGGTAAATAATGAAAGCAAAGGCGTGGTCCACTTTCTTTCAGGTGCTGTTAGCTGTGTAGTCCTCGCAGAAGCAGTGAGGAGCAGGCCACGGGCCCGGTTACCAGCTACCCGGAATTGCACGAGGCGGGAGTGGGCTTGATTTGGGTGGATTTTCCTGATTCGTACTGTGATACATCTTTAATACCTGTGAATTATACCAACACTGCACCCGTGGAACCCATTTTAGAAGCTCCAGTTTAAGATTAATGTGCTTAATGTAAAAAAAAAAAAAAAAAAAAAAAAGCATTTTCAAATAAATAAGCATTATAATGTGCTATCCAGGTGTTATTTACAAATGAAGAACAGATGAAATAATACAAAATAAAACCAGGCAGAGGTCCGACAGAGTCTCAAATTCAATTGTACTCATTCTGAGCTGGAAAATTAACTTATTCATGTCCATCTTTGGCAGAAACCAGCATCTGTTTAAATTATTCAGTTTGTGCAGCTTCAGAACTTAAAAATAGAGAGAGGTTGGCATCAAAGTGGAAGGAAAGGATCTGCTCCCAGTTGTTGGTTACCAGGCAGGAGAAGACAGCAAAGAGCGGAAGCACAGAGCGTGCCCGCGGGGATCCTCCAAATCCAAACGCGCACCAGGCCACCAGGTGGGCCCCACAGAGACCCTCAGCCTGATGGGAGCCCGGCGTGGGCCTGGGCTCACTATTACTCCCAGCATCTCCAAACTCATTTTGGGAGGAGCATCTCCTCTGAGCCAGAAAGTTAGCAACAGTGACAATAAATCAAGATGATATGAGACAACTGTTACTTTTGAACGAGTCCTTTAATGTTTTACATTACTTTGTGTGGTACAATCATTCCTTGTGCTTTTAAATTTGGAGATCCGAGATAAAACAGCCTTTTTGTTGCAGTGCTCACCTCTAATTGTCACTTCTTTCTTCTGGACGATGTCTTCCCCTGTGTATATGTTCCTGGCCCTGCAGACGTAAGTGCCCGAATCTTCCAGGGAAACGTTCTTGATGACAAGGTGGAGCGTCACAGAGTGCTCCTTCGTGACGGTCATTTTTTGCCTGCTAAGACTGTGGTGCACGGTTCGGTTGTTAGCTGTCCGCAGCAGAATCCAAGTAATGTCTCTGTATAAGAACTTGTTAACTGTGCAAGAAAGTTTCAGGTCTTCTCCTTCTGTGGGCATTTTTTCCAAGTTAACATGGAACCCATTTGGCACATCTATAAAATAAGAATAAAGAACTTTGGTTCATAGAAAAACCAATGTGTCATAGAGAGACAATATCTCATCATGAGATATTCAAAGAGCTGAAGAATTATCCCTACAGAGATTCTCTCAGCATCTGCATTGAAAGGATGACTGTATCTGTTTATTTTAGAGGAACTGATCAAACAGCAAGTGGGAACCAACTAAGTGTATCCCATCAGAAGTGGGAAATGCCAAACAGAAGTTAGTACGATGGGACATTTTCTTCCTTTGCCCCAAAGTGCTCTTCCAACTAGAACTCTATTTTACAACTTTGGATAGTAACCACATTTCCCATTTCCTTATCATGACAGAACTACTGGGTAATGGACAAAATAGTAAAGTAATAACAGCAATTTGTACTAAGACTGAAAGATGCTTTCATAGTCAAATTTATCCAGAATAAACTGTGCAAGCGAGGCCAGGAGTCCCGGGCACATGCCAGAGGGCCCAGTCATGCCAGGCAACACCCTAAGCGTTTCCAGTAGAACAACTGATTTCCCGTCCCCGGCCAGTGGGCCGCCAGCCTCCTGCCCCCTGCTGTCCCATTACCTGCCTGCCCTTTGCTGGCACAGAGGGCACATGGGGCAGAGTGGGCAGAGAAGAGCCATTATTTGCTCAGTTCCCCTAAGTGGTGATTGTTCCACCCAGACATAAAAGAGCAGACTTCTGAAAATGTGGACAACTAACCTGGAAGAGTTGCAGGATTTCAATGCGGGGAGGGGGGCGGGGGTTGGGGGAGGGGAGAATGATTTTTAAAAAATCCTCTCAGAAAGCTTTTTAAACATGTTCTGAAATTGGCTGTGTCATTAAAAGGCATTTTGTCCAATGCCTTTCCCAGCGAACCCTCATCTCTACCTTCGAAGCGCCCCTGGTGACACCTCGCGAGCTGTCCCCTCAGCGGCCCCCCGGGCTGTCATACAGCTTTTGCACTGAGAGGTCCCAGTCGCACTTTGGACCATTTCACCAGAGGATTTTAAAAAACCACTGGCTACTGGTCCTGAACTGATCTGTTCTCACAACCCTTGTGTTGCTTGTTACTAGTCGCGTATCTGTATCTGAGCAAAGAATTTGGGCCAACATTTTACAAAGTACTTTGAAGATGAAAAGCACTATGTTATGCTGTTATTATTATTATCCTTTGGACACAAAGCTATAAAGAAACCTTTAAACCTTAAAGGGACAATAGTCCAAAATTAGATATCATATCAACTCTTTCCTAAATCTCACTTTGCTTGTTTTTCTGATTTTTCTGGGCTTTGGCTTTATTATACAGTGTCACGTCTGAAGAAATGCCAAAGCATTCATTTGAAACCCGGGAGCAGGGGTAACAGCGACTTCTGAAGTTGTCAGTGGCTGGAAAGAGAGACCAGCAGAGGTTTTCCGGCTTTTAAAACGAGAATCCAAAGACCTGCCAGGAGATGCAGAAGCAGTGGACAGTCTTTTTGTTTGTTTGCTAATCTTCACCGAGGACACCTTCCAATGATTGTTAGAGAGAGTGGGAGGGAAGGGGGGGGGACAAACACTGATGTGAGAGAGACACATGGATGGGTTGCCTCCCGCAAGCACCTGCACCAGGGCCAGGGATTGAACCTGCAAGCCAGGTACGTGCCCTTGACCAGGAATTGAATCTGAGACCCTTCGGTGCATGGGGCGACACTATAACCACTGAGCCACATGGGCCAGGGGTGACAGTTATTTTTAGCTTAACAATAAGATGTCAGAAATAACCCTTGTAATTCAGCATCTTATATTTGGGACATTTTCCAAGCATAAGGATTAAAACGGCAGCTACCACCTTTTACACACAGACTAGAACAGAAGTATTATACACTGGCTGCGATCAAATCATTTCTTTAGAGACCACGGACTCCATTTCGGAGGTCTTATCTGGTCTTCGAACCTAAGTGAGCCCAAGTCACACCGTTGAGATCAAGTAGCGAGTTTCTATTTACTTCAGTGATTTGAAACTTCCTGTGGAAATTAGCTCACAGGTTTCCTGATGGAAGATTTTGTTTATCTTTGCCAAGCACCACCAGGAATCTCAAAATAAAATGCATTTAGTGACATTGGGAAGCCAGGGAGATAAGGCAGTGCTGTTCCTGTCTCACACTCAGTAATTGCTAACACACCCATAGCCCTGCTGAGTGCCAGCAAAAACACACATAGGAAAAGAAAGCACCAAATAGGCTTTGAGGTCCGTTTCTGACATGGGGACACTGTCGCTGGAGCTAATTTAGTGTATGTTATCAGACAGCCTCTCACAAATGATTATCTAGTTCTCAGTATCACTTCTTTGATATTCTCTTTTGACCCACGGAAGATGATAAATAAAATGTCCTAAAACCAGTTAATGAGTCCAGAGGGATTCTCTTTAATTCACGTTGATTTCTTTTGCCTGAGTACAAAAACAGACCCAAGAAAGAACTGCCTTCTAACTCTCAGAGTGAAAACAAGAAATCTTCCCACACTTAAGTATCTGTTGAAGATTCCGCACAAGCCTCATCAGCACCAACCAACACTCATCTATCTAACGTGTATCACACGCACGGCAGTTTATGAGGCGTCAAGGAGAAGAATCGCCCCTTGCTCAGCAAAGGCGTTCAGCCCAGGGCGAGGTGGAAGATTATCTATTCACAAAGCGGGCAGACGTTTTGACTTGATTGGTCAAGCATGTGGACTGAGTTCATGAAAGAGACCAGCATAGAAATGAAAAGGATGAAAGGTGGCTCATTTGTCAGGTGGAAATAAAGAAGGCTTCTCTTCCACTAGAGAATAGAAGTAACATTCTCTAAAAAGAAAGTGAGTGGTTACTGGAAAGTTTTGCTTTTTCAAGTAGCTACTGTGTCCAGGCAATGGTGAAGTTGTGGAGGGTTCTAATAGCCACAGGTATCACTTTTCATCAGTTTGGAAGGCAATTCTAAGTTATGGTACTTTAAGGAAGGGGCAACATGACTTAATGAGGCTCGGAAAAGATCCAAATGCAGATCTAGATTTAAATGCAGGCAGATCTTTTATAGCATTATCTGCACCAGGTCCCGGAATAAACACGGAAAACAAATACGTAAGGTGCAACATTCCTAGCAGGATTTAGTCTCATCTCTAGTGAGAAGTCCTGTGACAAATATTGGAGTAAGAAAAAGATACTACTTAGTTTTAAAATAATGAGTGTAAGCAAATGAATCTGTTATCACCAATCAAAATGAAAACTCTTCAGGACTGGTAGAAACGAATTCAGAGAAATTATGTTCCAGGCAGTGGGGGCTTGATGGGCAGACTTTGTGCTCAGTTTTAAGGTTCAGGTTCTTGAGTTTCTAGAGGGAAAATGGCGAGCGCTCCAAGTAGAAGGTGAGTTTGAATTGAATTCTCTTTGCTCCTTTCTGTGAACAAGCCTTGGGATCTAGCAAAGGTCTCAACCACTGCAGGGGTATTGACTGTGTGAAGCGGTGGGAGGTGAGAGGGAGATTCTTCCTGAATTCAGCGGGTCGCCTCGATCAGCTTCCCCAGAGGGTCTCTGAGCCAGGCCGCTGCGTGGATGTACGACAGGCAAGGAAGAGCTGGCTCGGGGGTGGACAGGCGAGGCGGCGGTGCTGCGGCTCTCGCGGGCACAGGGAGCCTCTCCTGGGCATGCTGGGCAAGGACACGGGCATCCTCCTCCAGTGCTGCTCTCAGACCCGGGCAGGAGGCTCCCTGTCCTGGGCCTTTGGGCGGCTCTGTCTGGCTGTTCCTCTTCACAGTGGAAAGAGTCCTGGGCGAAGTGGGCATGTCCACTCAGACCCTGGGCTACTCCCACTTCTAGATCTTTCGGGGGTTACTGGGATTCCAGAATTCCCTGTAAAGATGATCCCAGGTCTCTTTCCTCTTCGCTCGGTCTGTCCTACTGTGGTCAGACTGCTTGTCACTGAGCACACTTCCAGCTCCCAGGGAAGACTGTTCATGAGGAGGTGGACACGGTCTGGATGCGCGGGCTGGGGAGCCGTACCCGGGGGTGCATGACCCCTTGCCTGTGGGACAGAGCCAGGAGTGGGAAGAGAAGGGCTGAGCGGGGCCAGCTCCTCTGCACCTCCAGGCACAGCCTCCTGCGGGGGGACTCTGAGCAGCCCCAGAATTCTAAAGTCGGACCTGATCTTTCAGGTCGTCACGAAGGCCTATTTGTCCCCAGAGGCTGAAGCATATTTAACAGCTTGTCTGCTTGACTTAGAACTTTGATGTGAATTTAATGTGTTGTTTGTGGGCCTCCATGGGTACTCTTGCCTTGGCACCAAAATGCGGAGGCTCCGAGCTACGCTGTCCAAGAGACCCCACTGGCCCCACGCGGCCCTTGGGCATTTACCACGTGGCCGTGCACCGAAGCATGGACTTCTGTTCAACGCCTCGTTTCCACTTCACATGTAAAAGCTGAAGCAGTGTCATATTCTTTAACATTGTCAGTGACATGTTGAAGTGATAACACTTGGGGTAGATTGGGTTAAATAAAATTAATTTCATTGTTTTCTTTTTCCTTTTTACAAATCTGGATACTAGACCAGTTTGAATTACATATGTGGCTACATTATATTTCTGTCGGTCAGCGTTGGCTTAACATTGGTAAATCCATCCATCACAGTACTTCTGCGCATGCCTTTGGGATTAGGACATACATAATGTGACATTTCTTTTTTGATTCCTTGGTGTTAAACTGTTATCCTAGAAGGACGGGGCTTCCTGGGGTCCGCAGGGGCCCAGCGCACTGCCGAACCGCACCAGCAGCCATGACACCTGAACAGACTTGCCAACCGTTCAGACGGAACAGGAGACACCCCCTCTTTGTCCTCTGAATCACACATGTAGTGGCTACAGATTCGATGGTACTTGTTTCCAGTCAAATATACAGGACAATAGAAACCTTTGTCGTTAATTTGTCCAAATCATCTGAGATGGGATCTGTGAGAAATGGCTATCAGTATCCTTCTCGAAATAAAGGATTTTCCTACTTGGAATGAATGCAAAGATGATTTCCCTTCCACCTCTTGCATCTGAGAGGACGGACTGAGCTGGTCTCGAGCGCCGTGTGCCACCTCACATCTCCGAAGCCCACCCCTCATCTGGAGAGCGTGGGGCTCGAATGTCTTCCAGCTGACGCTCGGGGACAGCCCGCTCGGGGCTGTCTCCACACAGCTTCTCAGAGGGCTGGCTCGCTGGCCAGAGGCTCCCTGTGATCTGAGCCCATACGCCTCATGCAATCAGACCTACCTCTTTCCTTCTGGAGAACTCCAGGCAATGTCTGCAGCCCGCCCCACGAGTGCAAAGTTTCCAGGGAGCTGGCACACTGCCCAGGTTTCCTCAGAAATTGGGGGACTGTGGAGCCAGGCAATTGTTTTTATACTTTGAGCTACTTACTTCCTTCCTGTACCCATGGAGGGACACAGGGCGTGCCATTTGTGTCCCCTGGAAGTTTTAAGATTTGCAGAGATGGTCCTATTTCAGGTTAAACATTCTTAAACGCTACCAAAAAAGAATGCATTCACTCTTGTCAACAAAGCTCGGTTTCAGATTCTTATGCGAGAGCTGTGTTTGCCCAAACGTTGAAATTAAATTGTGAAACAATTAGCTTTTTGGTTAAAAAAAAAAATGTCGTCACATGTATTATAATTGATATCCTTGATTCTTTTTAAAAAAAATCCTCACCTGAGAATATGTTTTTATTGATTTTAGAGAGAGGAAGGAAAAGAGAGAGAGGGGGACGGAAACATTGATGTGAGAGAGAAAGGTCGGTCAGTTGCCTCCCGTACACACCCCGATCAGGGTTCAAACCCGAACCTAGGTTTCCCTGACTGGGAATCGAACTCTCAAGATTTTGGTGCACGGGGTGATGCTCCAACCAACGGAGCCACGGGCCAGGGCCTCATGATTGTTCTTGAACAACCGCCGTGTGCCAGACCCTGTGCTAGGTACTGGAGGGAGTTACAAAATGAACATGACAAAATCCCAAATTCACAATCCAGCCCGGGACCCAGACATACACAGATAGCTCCAAAAGAGAATTCAGGGGAACCCCTCTTTAGAAGAGTCAATGATGTTGCAGAATTCTATTCCTAAGAGCAAGGGTGAAGGTACTCAAACTTTAACAACCTCATGGAATGTTTCCTTTAAATAAAAATCACTCAATCTCTGAGTGCACTAAAAGCAAACAAGATGTGCAAAGAGACCGAGGTCACCAGGCTGTCTGTGTAAGTGTAGGGTGTGTGGCTTACCTGTGATATAAAAGTTTATGTTTCTTTCCACAGTCCCTACTTTATTGGAAGCCATGCAGCTGTAAATTCCAGAAATTCTAGCGTCAGCCACAACCAAGGTGCTAGCGGTCTGCAAAAGAAAAGGACATTTTAGCTAGTGAGAGGCCAAAGACCCATTTGAACATCCGTCAGCTACTTCTGAAGGTTGAAATGATTCAGCTGTTTCATTCATTCAACAAAGATAGTCATTGCATGAGTGGTGGTTACCAGAAGGCTCTCCCTTTCCGAGCCCCAGCAAGAATGGAAAAAATAACAGGAAAGCAGGTCCTCAGGAGACCGGGGGCTGTGACATCCGACTTGTCTGAGGGTTTCAGGGTTATTTATCTCGTGCTGCTGGTGCAACAATTACCGACCTGAGGCTGAGATGCGGGACTGCACGTCCTGCTCTCTGAGGTGGTCAGTTCCACGTCAACGAGAGCAACAGGTGAGGCCAAGGCCTTTTTGTATTTGGATGACCTGAGAGCATGGATGCTGTTTGGGAACAGGAGCCTTAGCATGTTATGTGAGCAAGGGTTGGCTGGACTAGTTCTTCCGTGTGCCCAGAGAAGGTGGCATCGCAGCCCCAGTGGTGCTGGAGGAGAGGCAGGGGGCTCGCTGATATATCGTGTGTGTGTAAATTACTTCTCAGCCTGTCAGGTCCTGATCTAGGAAGTGAAGATATGCTACAAATCAGTGCAGTATCAGGTCACTAGACTTTAGTTCTGCTATTTGACAAATTAGCCCCTAAAAAAAGCACTAGGAGTCAAATTTGTATGAACTTGAAAGCACTTTACAAACTGTGATGTCTCAGAGTACTGCAACAAATGCATACAGCCGAAAGACTTGCATTGCTACCTTCTTTTAAAGACGAAAATTAGTAATATGAAAAACAAATTGTTACTTTTTAAAATCCAACTCAACCTTGCAAAAGAGTAATCCATACTATATATGAAAAAAATGAAAGAGCAGGTTTTTCATATTTAACATTATTATGAAAATGTTGATCCAACTGAAGACTAAAAATATACTCATGTTTTAGCCAAGTTCATTGTTCCAAATTCTCTGTGTATAGTGAGTACTACATGATGCTTCCCCTTCTGTCTGCTGCATCTGTTTAATTACACGTACCCACATACCCTGTGTCCTGAAATGATCGCAAATGAAAGTGTCTGCAATATGTGGCATTTTTCATTCAGTTTAGCAGACATTTACTGGGCATTGCCCAGATGTTTTAAGGGAGACAGAGATGAATATGACACAATCCTTGTTCTTAACCCTGAAGGATATTCTTAACCATACGGGGCTAGAGAAGAATGTTTCTACTTGAAGGTCAAATACATACTCCTCTCTTCTGCAGAGGAACACTCAGAGAGACAGACAAGCAGTGAAGGGTATGGAAGGAGCTCAGGTGTCTCCCTACTTTGATTATTAATCTTTAAGAGGTGGGAAATGAAATAAAATTCTGAATAGCCATTTCTTTTGAATGATTGCACCCATCACTTAAGAGTCATGGGAGAAAATGAAAGGAGGAGAGAAGCCTGTAGGTGGCAACGTGAAATGAAGTGTTAGCTGGTGGCAGCTGGAAGGACCAAGTGGAGTCTGACCGTTGGTCTGTGTCAGCAGAGCCGGGCCAGAGGCCGGCAGCAGCGGACCACAGCTGTGGGCGCGGCCCCTCCCTGGCGCTGGCCTCTCAGCTAAGTACTGCCTTTCTGGTGGTTACTTCTCCAGTATTCTTCCTACGGGCCTCAGGAGAACCTTATTGAGAGTCTCAGATTTATTACTGCTCAATAAATAGGTGAAAAACCCATTTCTATTTGGGTTGATATTATGGACAGCGATGACCTGAATCTGAAAGTTATATTTGGGTTTCTATTAGCATTATTGTGCATTCACTGAACTCAAAGCAACTAAGAATAAGTAATGGATTCTGTGGCAAGGGAAAACCATCAGATGTATAAGTTTGCCATATTTAAGACCTGTACAGGCAATCTGGGGATGGCTATAGCCATTTTACAAGACTCCAACACACAGAGAGTCAGAAGTTGTGTATAATCAGAATGAAACTAAGGTACCTTGCAGTGAATTCAGGTGGCATGATGGACCATGGACATACAAATGCATTTGAGTCTCTCTTATTTTGCCTCAATGACCCCTTCAAAATGGACACCTTACTTAGAGTCAAGCCTGTCCCAGAACTCACCTCTCTAAAGTTTCTATTGAAATTGAACTTGAAAATGACATTAATGGGAGTTTACATTATTTCTTTGGTCTGCGTACCTTTAGGTAAGCCTTGCTGTGTACCAGATTGTGTGCAAGGCGTTATCTCATTTAACCTCCCTATGCCTCTATGAGGTGGGCGAATTACCCTCTTCTACAGAAGAGGCAACTGAGGTCACAGAGGGTAAGTGACTCACTCACACATAGCCAGTAGCGCAGACGGACCTGGGCAGAACTTACATCCAGGTTTGTCTGACTCCAGTGCCTATGCTCTTATTCTTTACACAAAACTACTTGTCTTAAAACTCTTTAATTCAGTAACACAGATCTATTGGTAGGAGTCTAATTTTTGAATTGGGTTTTCCTTGAGAATACCTCCTTTGGTCCACAGAGATAGACCACATAAGCTAAATGCCACGCTGTACAAGAAAGACTAGTTTCTTTCTTGGTATTTTACGGAAACTGCAAGCTATTTTTCAATAGATACAGTGTTATATGGTTTGAAAATATGATTGATGAGTGAAAAAGTTATAATTAAAAAAGAAACTCTAAAAATAAGGTGAAACTTGTATCCTATGATCAACTATGTTAAAAACTATCTGACTTCTCTTTTTCCAGAGAATATAAATAAATGATAAATTAAAACATATTTTCATAAAAGCAAAATCTATTTGCCAACTGAAGCATAAACTGTATCGGATCAGAAAATGAGCTCAGATGCGAGCAGGAGATGAGTATAATGGTCTGGACACAGGACGGGAAGTCTCAGTGCAGGAGTTTTCTGAGTTAAAGGGACAATCGCTCCCTGGTGCTCATAACCACGTACGATCATTTCAGGGGAAAAAGATAAAAATAGCATCACAGCTGGAACACCAAATATCAACTTAATACTTTCAGAGACAAAGTGCCAAGAATTTGAGTTGTATCATGTGTTTGAAATTATAATCATCTATTTTATAAGGTACACCAAAAGAAATTCTGCAAGACTTATGCTTGTATTATTTCCATAATTAGGTTTCATTTACCACAATATTTTTTTTAGCTCTGAAGCCACACTTTGGGAGTGCCCTCGTCTGCCCTGCCGTGACCTCAAGAATTTAGGTATTAGAAACAAATGCTGAAAGGCCATTCTCCGGTTCTTTTGCATGACTCAGGAATGCTGATGGAAACTGTCCTCAGGTACTGTAAGCTTGGAAGTTATTCATACTCCTTCCTTCCCCTTCACTAAGTGTTAGTCACTCACCACTACAAAGTGGTTTGAGCCTCACAGAGTAGAATGGATGGGATGATGTGTAATTCAGCCTAATCTCCAGCCTTAGTTAAAAAAAACAATCTATATATGGAAATGATTTTAATCTTGGAATGTTTCTAATACGGTTTCCTTTTAAGTGCCTCAGGTAGAAATAGAAGTAGACCTGGAGAAAGATCACGGAAGAATCTAAAATGAGCCTAGGGTGGCGCATCTGGGCCGAGTGATGGGAGAGTAGAAGGACAGAATCCGAGAAAACTGGGGAGCGTGTGGGAAATGTAACTCGAGCTGTGCTGCTGCGATGGGTGCTAATGCTTCTGCCGCGGGTTTGTCACACAGCTCGCTTCTCCTTCTCAAATCTAAACAATTGCCATGGAAATGTCGCAAAAACTTTAAGATTGTCACAATCCTCCAGCCTCACGGGCTGATGCAGGGAGAAGTATTTCCTGTGTGTTTTGTGCTCACACAGGGCTCCTTCCATTTCCTGCTCCATATCTACAGACCCAACAGTCCGGCTCCCCACTGAAAAAATATGAAAAAGCCACGTTTGCTATTAGCAACTCCATTGATGACTCACTTTTCACAAATCTAGGCCAAAACTTGTCAGCAAGGAACTGGATTTTATTGTCCCCTGCGCCCTTACTTGAATTACATGAAAAAAGCAAAACAAAACAAAGGGAAAAAATGCAAGTCCCTGAAACTGAACAGGCGCTCTGCGGGCCTCCATCCGCTGGCCTGCGGGGTGGTGCGCCGGGCATGCCAAACCTCGACTGCAGGGAAATGCATCACTATAGTCTAAGTTGGGGCTTTACTTTCTTAAAATGTACAAAAACTAAAAGCAGTTTTAGGTGTAAAGGGAAGGCCAATGCAAATCATCTGAAATAGCAACACTTCCATGTGTCATCACTATACGACAGATAATTTTTCATACACCATAAGATATATTAATAGATGCTAAAAGTAAAAGTAGAAAACTCATTTAAATTGAGAACATGAAATGAATAATTTCCTAAAGCCTGTGTTACAGTTACAGCGACTAAGAGGATATTACATATGTATATAAATATACATATATATCTCAAACTTTGTTTAGAAAGAGTATTAAGTGTCTTTTTCATTGTAAATAATTGTTTAACAAATAATCATCATTGTGTATGGTCATAATCAATTTGGGAATTGCATTAGGGTCTATATGATGAACACCTTTATAACAACGGGCAAATTAGGTGGGGCTGACGTTACTAGCTCCATTTTCCTGGAGGCGAGACCTCGGGTTCAGAGAGGTGAGCTGCTGTGCGTGGTTACACGGGGTAGAAAGTGGCGGGAGCTCACCCCGTGCGCCCGCCCGCCCGCCGGAGTGCCAGCTGGGTCTGGAAATCGATATTTAAAACTTCTCAGAACTGAAGCTACGAGTCAATCAGGGAAGTTCCTTTTTCTACACCCACTTTTGTGACTTCACGCCCGTCTCCCACAGGTGTTCTCTGCGCATCAGGTGCTACCTCATGGTTCAGGCTGCTTGGGAACCTCACCTGGCTTTCTCATTTTCTTTTCCATTGCATGTGTGTGTGGATAAGATCCAAAACAGGACTACAAGGTACCAGAGAAATTACATTCCTAAGGTCCTGTTTCAACATCCAGTAGTTTAGAGTACAGCCAGCTGATAGGAGCAGGAAAAGGCAAAGTGAATTGACACCACCAATAGCATCTGGAGATTTTCTAGTACTTTGTGACAACTAACTGGATTTTTACCCTGAGGCAAGTTCCCTCTTTTTTTATTAAGGTAGTGTCACAAATTTAACTTTCAAGTTTACAGAATTTCCTGTTTCCTAAGTATTTCATTAACTGGCTCTCTCATCAATAGCTACACGTCATGGAATATTTTAATCTACTGTTCATTTGTGTTAGAGAAAAAAAAAATGTAAACCACCTACAACTACTGCTAGTTTTAAAAACGTGTCCTATGTCCTTGAGAAGTGACCGCCGACAGCGCCATGCCAGCCAGCGCCGTTTATACTGATTTCTGTGCTGGCTGCAGTGGGCAGGGCCCTGGGTTTGGGAACAGGAGACTTGGACTGAGCGTTTCATTTGCCACTTGGAGCTGTGCGGCTCTGAGTTAATCATCTCATCACCCGGGTTTTTCTTATCTTTAAAGATAAGCACTGTGGTCAGCCAAAGAATGACACTGACATTAGCATATGTCAGAACGGTTCACACAATGAAGACTTCAGATGTTACTTGCTGTTATTGTTATTGTTAAATCCTACACAGAAAATGATGCCATGTGCTTTATCGCCTTCACATGCAGAGAACACAGCTGAATAAATAGATAACACAGGCACGATCCCACTCAAGCAGACGGCGTCCATATTAACTGGCTGCTCCAAATAAGACATGCGAGTAGAAACAGACTTTTCAGCAAGGACTTATTTGATACATTTTTTTCCTTTTTAAAGCATCATTGCCCCGCGTCTGTAATAGCAGATTTTTATGTGTCTTTTTCACTGATTCAACAGAAAAAAAGCTACAAGGTCTGAGATTCACCGAGATTTGCCTGGTTCACAAGGTGTCAGCCTTGCTGAGGCTCAGTGGAGTTAGGGGAGGAGAGGACCAACGCCACCGGAGTGGCAGGAAGGACGCCTGCTGGACCCCAATCAGGTGGGGATTTTTGTGTGTGGGGAGGGGTTGAAGTCTCTTTTTCAAATGAGCTATAATTGACATACAACGTTATATTAGTTTCAGATGTATATCATGATTCAATATTTGTATATATTGCAAAATGATCATAATAACTCTAGTTAACATCTGTCACCATATATGGTTACAATTTTTTTCTTGTGATGAGAACTTGTAAGACCTGTTCTCAGCAACTTTCACGTATGCAATATAGTGTTACTACTACAGTCACCGTGCTGTGCATGACATCTCTATGTAACTGTCAGCTTGTACTTTGACCCCTTCGACCCATTTTGCCCACCCCCACCCTCTGCCTCTGGCAACCACCAATCTGTTCTCTGTATCTACAAGTTTTAGATACCACATGTAAGTGAGAGATTTGTCTTTCTCTGACTTATTTCACTTAGAATAATGTGTAAGGTTCGTCCATGTTGCCACAAATGGCAATATTTCATTCTTTATTATGGCGAAATAATATTCTGTTGTGTATACACACCATATTTTCTTTATTCATTCATGCACTGAGGAACACTTAGGTTGTTACTGTATCTTGGCTATTGTGAGTAATGCTGTAATGAACTTAGAGGTGGGTATATCTCACTGAGTTAGTATTTTCATTTTCTTTGGATATATACCCAAAAGTGCGATTGCTGGATTATATGGTAGTTCTATTTTTAATTGTTTGAGGGACCTCTATATGTACTGTTTTCCACCATGGCTGCAAAATTTACATTCCCCACCAACAGTGTGCAGGGTTCCCTGTCTCCACATCCTCAACAGCACTTGTTACACTTGTTATCTCTTGTCTTTTTGATGATAGTCATTCTAACAGGTGTGCGGTAGTATCTCACTGTGGTCTTGGCATATCTTCAGTCAGAGAATCTTGAGATTCTGTGTGTTTGTATTCTCTAGCGTGGTCAGGCTTTGCCCTTGCAAAGACAGAGGGAAAAACAAGGTATTCTGTGAAATGGGGACATTTCATTTTAGCTTCTGCTTATCGCCAGCCCACCTTCCGTTTGGCGGTGTTTCTCACGCTGGCTGCACGCTGGACTCTCCTGGGAGCTGTCCTGAACCCTGGGCTCACCCCGGAGATTCCGGCAGAATGGTAACTAGGAGAGTCTTCTAATATGCAGCCAGGGTAGAAAACCACGGCCGTGGGAGGCAGGCCACCTCTTCTGTTAGGACTGAGCACCCACTACCTGGAGCTGGTGGTCGGCTGAGAAGCCCGCCTTCTGAGGGGTCTCAGGGCTGCTCTCTGAAGACACAGCTCAGTGCTTTCTTCCCTCTGGATTTTTGTTTGAGCATTTGAATGACTTCTGGTTCTAACACATCCAGAACTAGGAGCTGACTGTGTGTTTTTAGAATAAACACCCCAATGCTTATTTATTTATTATTTTGTACAAAGAATACCTTATTCTTTCCTTCTATTACTGCTGCGCGCCGAGTGATGCTCTCGATTCTGTTTCCTACGTTGCTGTCAGGGTCCAGGATGAAGGATTCTTCCGTATCGGAGCAAAAGTCATACCTATTTTTTTAAAAAGTAAGTCATTACTATGTTGCTTTGTAGCATGATCCAGCCCAAGGTGATAAGTGAAATAAAAATCATTGGATAAGTGCTCGGGTAACAAAATCACACTTTTTCTCTCTTTTCCTTAGATTTCCTCCAATATCCATCTTCACAACTTAAAAATAGCAAATATATTTTGCCTGATCTGAAAAAACCCACACCAATGTATCTCCACATATCCTTCCTTCCTATTCTAAATGTTAAATATGAAATAAAATGCATAAATTAGAAAATTTAATATCTAGATTTTAATTAGTTCCTAGTGGAGGAAACATGCAAACACAGAAAAAAATAAATAAAGTTATGTTAATGAATGGAAACCTCAAAGAAAGAATAGCATTTCACATCAGTAAAAGGCTGGCTTTTAATTAGAATATTACATTATGCAGGTACTTTTTTCCAGGGCTAATTGAGTGTATGCACACACACATTATGGAGCAGTTATTAAGTTCAGTCTATTTCTTTTCAAGTTTAGGGGCTTTGTGGCAAGTTCTTCAACTTCTTAGTCCTCAAATATTTAATTAAAAAATAAGAGTGTTTATCATGGAGATCTTTTTTGATTCCAAAAGTCCATGAAGTCTCCTATTATTTTGAACTAGCTACTTGAGTACCATTTTATTTATTTATTTATTTTCTTTTTTATCCTCACCCGAGGATATTTTTCCATTTTTTGTACAGATAGAGTGGGAGGGAGAGAGAGGAAGAGAGAGAGAGAGAGAAACATCGACGTGAAGGGACACATCGAGTGGCTGCCACCCACACGACCAACCAGGGCCGGGGACAAACTGCAACCGAAGTACGTGCCCTTAGCGGGAACCGAACCCGGGTCTCTCCGGACCGCAGGCCGACGCTCTAACCACTGAGCCAAACCGGCCAGGGCTTGAGTACCATTTTAAAGAGAGATTTCGACCTGTATCTGGAAGTTAGCATGTTCTCTCAGACACGTTATTATCAGTAGGCTTCTATTTCATATGGTTTACTACGCAAGTCATTGGTGTAAGTAAATGTTTATTGATCATTTATTCTATTTTATGTATGCTACATTCTACATGAATAAAAACCCCAAACAACAAAAAAAGACACTGACGTCCATTCTGACCTGGGCAGGGAACCAGCACCCTCACCGGCCTTGCTGACAGCGGCCCTCCCCGCTCAACACCCACCAGACCGCGGGCAGACCGGCCCCCGCATGCTCTGGTTTTCACTGAAATCCTTTTTGTTCCAAAACTTTACCAGCTGCACCATAGAAAGCCCAGGCTTCCTCGTCCGCCAGTTACGGCCATCCCCAGACGACTCCTCCCTGCTCTTCCAGCCTTGACCCTGCAAGAAGCCCTCTGCTCTGGTCCCGGGCACTGTGGTTTGGGCAGTTCACAGCACTGGACCTAAGACCCAGGCCCACCTGGCTTTTCCTAACTGTATGACAAGTTTTCTAGCATTATCTAAGCATCCGTGACTTAATTTACTTGCAGAGGTTTGTAAGTTAAAGACACCATAGCAACGTAAGGACTTGCTCTTACCGTATCACAGGGATGTGCCATGTACTCTGATCCCTCCATCCTCACTCTCTAGACACTGACTAGACACCCTCACCACCCACAGCCCCATCTTGGTTAGCACTTACTCTGACCACTGAGACCCCTCACTGCTCAGAATAAAACCACTCACTGAGCCTACGGCGAGTTCACCTTAACACTTCACTTGAGATTTAAGTATACATGTATTTGAGACACAGGGCAGATATTCTAGGCGCCTCCACACTGTGGACTTGCCACGGTTTGCATGCTCCTGCCAGCCTGGGCAGGTAGGGAGGGACCAGTGCCCGCAGGAGCCCGACTGCAGCACCTGCAGCCCCCTTGGCCGTGTCCTCTGCTTCTCAATGAGCTTCTGTGTTGATTTTCTGTTTCTTGCACTGGGACCATTTCATTGCAGCATTTTTTTATTGTTATCTTTTGGACTAGAATTTGTGGTGAGCAGAAAGTTGCTGGGCTTTAATTTGGACATGTCTTGGGCAGATTTTGGAGGTGTTCAAACCAGGAGGAACTTCTAGAGTCCAGTTGCCAGAAAGAACTGAGTGGATGATCTCAAGGAGCCGAGGGCAGCCATGAGTAAGTGAGAAGAGGGGAGACAGAAGGGACTGCATTGACCAGGAGAAGGTGCTGGGATTGTTCCTCTCGGTCCCGGAGCGGAGGAAGGTCTCCAGAAGGTGAAACTACCTCGTCTTCCGGATGGTCTCCCCTCCTGGGCACGCTGCCCGGTGAGGTCCTCCCCAGAGCACCCACGCTTCCTAAGCTTCCAGGAACGCTCCCAGGTCCCACTGGGCCAGCGGCTGCAGGGGACGGGGCCCCGTGCACTTGCTCACCCTGTCCTCGCAGTGACGCAAGGGCCGAGCAGGTAACTGGCACTCCATAAACATGTGTGAACATACAAACAGGCATGAGGTATCGATATGTTGTTTCTAGTAAGAGTGTTCATTTGTTGTAGTTTATTATTTTCTTAAAAATTTTTTATATGTTTTTATTGATTTTAGAGAGAGGAAGGGAGGGGAGGGAGGAGAGAGAGAGAGAGAGAGAGAGAGAGAGAGAGAGAGAAACATCAGTTGGCTGTCTCCTACACGTCCCCTACTGGGGATCGAGCCAGAATCCTGGGCATGTGCCCTGATCGGGAATCAAACTGGCGACCTTTTGGTGCACAGGACAACACTCAACCAACTCAGCCATACCAGCCAGGGCAGTTCATTATTTCCAAACACACTGATAAGAAGACATAGGTAATAAACCCTCATACACCCACCGCCCAGATTTAACGAGGAGGGTTTGGCCGCGTTTGTTCCATCAATCCCTTATCTGTTTTTATTCTCTATAAAGGTTTTAGAGCAGACCCCAGACATCACATCATTTCCCCTACATATTTCAGTGCATATCTCCAAAAAAATATGCTCGTTTTCTAATATGACCATGATGCCATTACTGCACCTAATAGAATTAGCATAAGTCCTGGATGCTCTTTGTACCCAGTCCATAAATCAGATTCCCCCCAAATGCTTATAAAATGTCTGTTTTTATAGTTAGATTATAAGATTAAATGTAAAAAGAGTTAATAAGGAGTGACCATTCTTAAGGAATTTCTGTGATTTCTACTAGCTAGTCTTATACTAATCAAGTAAAATAAATGATGTCAGTTTTCTCTGCTAATCAACTCTATTGATTAACTTTCTCTATTAGTAGAGAAAACTGAACCAAAGAGAAATTAGACACTTTCTCTTTTACTTGAGACATTTAAAAATCATTGTTTTAAAATCATGATGCCATTTTGCCCTAGTTTTCATTATTAGTATTCTTCATTTTCTAGACTGTACCATCCATACTTTGAAGTAGTATTTGACCTCACATCCTTTACACATGCTCAGACAAGCATGAGTATATAGATGTACATTACAGGTGTATGGGGTTTGTGACACGTGTACATCTCTACGAATATGTATACCCCCATGAACATGTATATACCTCTATGAACACGTGTACACCTCTATGAACACGCGTACACCTCTATTAGACATGTGCACGTGCAATGGGTATTGTGACACCAAACAGCTGAAGTTCTCTTGTATCTGGAAGAGAAGCCCTTAGTTTCATAGTATTGGTCCTCAGGAAATGCAAAGAACTGTGAAAGTAACACAAGTCTAGGTGTTTCCCGGGGGAACAGAGCCTGCTGTCAGAGTCCAGCAGGGGCTGTCGACCTCTGGCCCCCACGCACCCCTCGTCCAAGGCAGTGACCGAGCACACGCCCCGGCATGGAAACCACAGGCTGGGCTGCCGCAAGGTCTTCCGAACAAAAAGGACCGATTCTGTGGCTGTTTTCTAATTTGGGGACTGTTATTTTTCCCTCTTTGTAATTGGAATCATAAAAATAGAATGTCACTTAGGAGCCTGACTATATACCAGCACTTGAAAAGAGATTTGGGGGGAGGGGAGTTCGCCGAAGCCTTAAGAATACATCAAGCTCTCAAGGAAGTAGATTGTGCCATGTTTGAAGATGCAAAGATAATCGCTGTGCTGGGAACCGTCTTGAGGGGGGAGGAAGCCGAACAACGAGAGGAAAGCAGCGTTCACTCCTGATTTCGCACAGGAAACCCACAGCACCTCCTGCCAAGGGGAGATAAGAAAGCTCCCAGGCACTGTTCTGGACAAGGCCGCTGTTATCAGCCTCAGCTCCACGCTGTCCTCTCTCTGCTCCAAGCCTCTGTCCCTTTCCTAATGAGCCTCAAGACTCCGACCTCCATTTGCATGCAGCATGCCAAGTACAATAGCATGGAGGTATTTATAACCATCGAGAGGAAAACAAAATTTCCGGGGTAAGAGTGTACTCCATGTCATCTCATGCATTGCCCTGGAGTTGAAACACATTCGTTTCAGACGAGAGATTGATATAAATAAATTAAAAGAAAGCAGCCAATTTTGCATCCAAAACACGGAGCTGGGACCCTACGAGGTGATGTGTCAGTGTGTTTAGCTCAAAGCAGCAGCCGTCTGCAGGGCTTTCCCCTCGGGTCTGTTACCAGGCTTCTTCTCTTGACACAAGTTAGGGAAACACCACCCGCCAGAGATGCAGATGACATCACTGACCTACATGCTTTGGGTTGATTTTCCTGTAGTGGTGATGAATTTGCCCTGTTCCCTTCCCTCTCATTAATACTTGGCTCCTCTGTGACCAAAGACAGATAAAGGCAGTCTAGGGCCACAGAAGAAGGAAAAACCAACACTGGGGTCAAACCTAAAACTTGAGAAGACTGACTGCTGGTCCCAACAGGCAAGTTAACCAGCCAAAGGTTATAACAACTCTAACATACACCATGTGTATTATTCTCTACTACAATAAGGATCACATGTTCTATGTGCTTGGTGTTTCATAGACACTATCTCTCTAATTTGTACGATATTTGAAAAAAGTAGGTACTCTCA